CTTTTCCTATTACCAGATACCTAATCACTACACATGTCTATGAAGAGGTCTGGTGCTAAGGTTGAAATGAGATTACTTCATCTATGCAGATGCATTGCAACTCAGGGCAAAAAGCTTGTCTGTCGTTTGTTACAAGTATGACAGTAGTTATTGCTTTTGTGGTGGAAGAGTAGACCTGCAGAAGTGAGGATGGAAGCTTAATACTACTGCTTTCTTAATAATATTCTTGATACTACTGTGCCTGTGTGCTATGCGGTCAGTTTGCATATGTGCAAGAAACCTTAACAGGCCTGCATGCTGTTTTTCACAGTACGTGCTGTGCAGGTGCAGCACTCCAAAATAACCCTTATCCCCTCTGTGCTAGGGGGTTGACCTGCTTACGTGCACTAGCCACTTGCCTGGGATTTCCAGACATCCAGTGACTGAAGAAAGATGGCATGCCTATCTAGGCTTCTCCATTATCATAGCACTAATTGCCACCACTTGGAAAGATACTACACTAGCATTTGCACTTGTAAACCTGCTATTTAGGAGACTCTGGTCTTTATGCCTCCTTGGAAAGAGGAAGAAAACATTCCTGAGCATTGTCTGAGGCATTTAGAGCTGCATAATGATAAAGATACGCAACACACGTTAAGTACTGGTTTGTCTTGTATCTGTAGGTAAAAGTTGGTATTTACTGCCCTTTATCTTATGGCTCACTGGAAATCAATTGTATGGTACTTTAAATGACTTGCACAACTTCATGGTTTCACTGAACTATTTTATTATGCAAGTGAACTTAAGGGATATTGGATTTCATGCATCAGGATGCGAAATATCCATGATGGCTTGCTGTGGGCTTTATCCTGTTCTACCTGATGTTTTACTGTGGAGCAGTTAAGTATCAGGAGGTGGACGGTCAACTTCAAAGACACCACGCTACCTGCAACCAGAGACAGATTCTGGACCAACAGGCTGTAGCTCAAGAGTTAGACTTCAGGGGAAAAAACCTACCTGTGCATGCACAGTGTTGGACACACCTGGAAACTGTGTTTGAGAGGGAGGGATCGAAGAGGCAGTTGTCTTTGGTTCTGAAGTCTTGTATCTCATACAGAGAAGATGAGCTGGTTGGCAGTGTGGTGCCTCCTTAAGACACAATGTTTTCTGAATGTTTTTCAAATGGCACTTCCATTTTCCAAGTTAGGTACTGTATGGTGCACAGTGTCTGAAAGCCTGCAGTGTCCCATGGATTGATCTAGTGACTTAGCATAGAAGAGATGTCTTAGCAACAAAAAAAAAACAAACCCCGAAACCAACAAAAAGAATAAATGCGTGGCTTGGGGGCACTGCTAAAGCAAGGAAGACCTCATTCTAACTACTGTAACTTCTGGTACAAGAACTTTCCATAGCGTTATGATTATTTAAACTATATTGTGAGGTTCTCTTCAGCTGCATCTTTCATTTTATTTCCACTATCTTGTCCCAGCTGGAAATATAGATAACGTTACAATCCACCCTGAACAGTCTGAAGTCATGGAATTAGTGTTCAGTCATTCAGTGTAGTAAGGTCTTCAGTTTCTGTTGTCTCTTATAATTCATGGAGCACTTTTTCCTTTTAATGCAAATGGCATTGCCTTCTTAACAGCATGCTTCTTCCCCTCTGGATCAAACTGGTTAGCGATTTTATGCATCCTAAGACAGGGGAAGATGAAAACCTCATGTTCTATAATGGTTTTGTACACAAAAGCAAGCCTTCCGAGGCCCTATTTGTCATGAAGTATGTTAGTCTCAGACATGAAAGTATAATCCTAAAGTGTTAGGGCATCAGCCTATTGAGAAGGAAGGTGCATCTACTGGCTAGGATTTTTAGCATGCTATATGCATTTAAAAACTCTTATTTTGTATGTAACAACCACATGGTCTACACCCCCCTCCAAGGACCTGTGTTCTGAAACAATTAAAAACTGCTTTCTTTTTTGTTATGGCTCCAATTTTGTCCTGGGATACTGCCAGGATTTGGTTGGGATCTTAACAAATGACCTGCCTTGCCTACGCAGAGGAAGCAGGATTTCACTTGTGAAAGTTGTCTTAGGTATGTATTGCTGACAGAAATTAGGTTGAGTTGTTCCATCTTTTCCTCCCCAACAATATCTTGAATTGGTTAGCACTTTGGGTTTTGATTTAATCATCTTGGCGCCATGGGGAGTTTCATGTGGTCTGAGCTGAATGCCCAACTTACCCTCTCTCAGCCTAACAGACATCAAGGTTTCTTCAGACTGTCTAAGCAGGGTTTCAAGTGGGTTAAGCTCTGTTTGCCTGCTTCACTACCAGCTTCTCTGTGGCCAAAAGCTTGTGTGGAGTGGTTGTAGGACATCTGTTTAGAAACGCTGTTAAAACCATTATGTTCTTGAAATCAAGGCTTAAGGTTTGGAGATGAGAAGCAAGAAGACTTAATATGGCAGGAAGGAGACTCAAAGGATTTGTCACAGGCAGTCGTCGACTCATTGAAGGGACAACTGTCTCTTCTTGCTCCTCCTGTCATGTAGCTAGCAGTTTGTCTGAGGGTACACCAGGGAATTCCTCTGTATCCTGCTGGTCGCTCAGCCCTTTGAGAACACAGAAATTAACCTTTACCACATGCCCCAAGTGCCCTTGAGAGCTTTTGAATAACCAAGCAGTCACGTTCCATAAGGCTTTGTGATTGAAGTGAAAAGCAGGTGACTTAAATTTTTGGTCTTAATACTAAAGTCATTCTTAAAAGATGTAGCAGGTAGGTGGCTTTAGCACTAAATAGCTCACTATGTAGCAGATCCTTTAGGAAGGGGACCGTATCCAGAAGGGTCTTCCAGGGTTGGAGTAATACAGAGTATTCTAGACTAGGGAGTTTACCTTTTTTTTACTAGCAACTAACTGCTAAGGAGATAGAGTAAAAGATGAGCGTACTAGTACTGACTGGAATTCTGTGCTCAGCCAACATTCTGCAGGTTTTCTGGTAAGGAGTGGGAAGCACATCCTTCCAAGTTCTTTAGCTTGTAAACCGATACTTATTTTACACCCACTGTGGTGTTTCAGCCAGAAGTACAAATAACTTGCACAATCCAAAACTGTGGATTACGAGCAGACGTTTTCTTGAAGGGGGTAGAAAGAGATTAGAATATGATTAGGGATTTATTGTTGAGAGGGATTAAGCAACAGGATCTTTTTAAGGTCACGTCTTCGAATTGCAGTCTTGCTGTTCCTGAGAATTTGGTATCTGAACTTCCCCTCCCTTGCTACACTGGAAATACTGTTTGGGAAACCTGTGGTTCTTAAGGCACAGGGAAAAAAGCCTTAAGCATACTTCCATGCTCCTTTATGGATCCCAGATGCTACAGTTGGGAAAAGGAGCTCTTAGAAAACCTTTCTTGCTTGTTCTTTCTTGTTGCTTTTAGAGGATTTTTTTTTTTTTTTTTTTTAAATCCTAACTTAAAGGACACTGCTTTAAAAATACAGCTTGAGAGTGACAGGGAATCTAAGCAGTTGTCATCTCTGGGTCAGTTTTGGGGTTCCATGACTTGGAAACTGCCTTCAATCATCTTTGTGTAGTAGGGAGAGAGCAGGAGAAAGACAACTCTATAAAGACTAAAAGGTACTTGATGCCTTCATGTCTCAATAAAAAAAAAGGAATGCAAAATTTTCTCATATATTTGACTAAAACTAGCTGAGAGAACTTGTTTTATTCACAGTTCTGTGTTAACTGTAACATTGTTTTACCTGACGTTTATCCTAGAGTTTAAATGTACATAATTAAGTGTCTGGAAATTGCTGCAGTGTCAAGGTTTTTGTAGCGAGTGATTCTATTTCTCTTCTGCCCCTTTCTCTCATTTCTTCAAATGTGTGCCTCTGCACTGGGCACCAGTGCCGCAGCTGTAGCAGGCTCTCCTGGGCTGTTAGCTCTGGCTTTCTCTAACGTGGCATTTGTAAAATGTTGGGAAACTGTCATAAAATCTTATCTGCCTGCAGCTTACCTGTTGTCTGCCCTTGTGTTTACCTGTCCGCTTTTCTTTCCTTTAAACTGCTGACCTACAAATCTAACTTGTTAGTAGAACTATGCTACGCCATCATTCCAGTTTGGGGTTCTTTATTTGTTTTGGGGTGGTTGGGTTTTTTGAGATGTGGTATAATATTGCAAGCGATAGGGTCTCCTGTAACTCGGAACAGTTGGAGATAATACTTTCCTGATTTGCCATTTTGCTGGTCCTTATGCTATTCCCTGCAAGCTTAGCTGCTGCTTTGTCTCCTGATTAACTGCTAATAGACTTTTTCTAGTCATTAAACACTCTTGCCTTTTGCATACAATAGTAACCTCTGTCTTGCAGTCTACCTCTGCAATTGCAGTAAATCTGATTATGTTGTTTCTTCACTAACAGTAATGGCTTAGTGAACTCTTGCCCTGTAGTATCATTCTGTACCCGTAACTGCTGTTCTCATGTGCTGCGTAGATTTTTATGAGGGAAAGAATGACTGTTTATCGGGTTAATGTTGATTGCTTTGCAAGAGTAATCTGCAGCCTATTGCCTTTAAAACCTCAGATTAATTCCAGCTTTAATATAAATGGAAGTTAAATTATAAGTCTTAAATTTAATTTAGTCATTAGGGCCTTTCGTAATCCAAAGGATGGCTTGCAGACAGTTATGCTGTGCACTCACAGGAGCTCTTATTCCAAGGGGGTTTAGGCCTGGCAATGATCAACTCTAAAATGTCCTCTCGTTTAACCAGAAGCTCAGTCCAACCCTGTGTTGAGTAGGAAAACCTGCAGAGCAAGCTGGATAAGACAGCAGAGTCAGTGTCACAATTAAGTTTGCTGGTATGATAATACAAATCTAATTGGGGCTTAAGCGTGCATATTGTAGAGGTTACAGTGGTACATCAAAGTGTGGAGGCTGTATTGTATGCAAAGTACTGTGTTAACACTGAGAAATAGCTTTCAGCTTTCAATATATCTTAAACAATGCTTTTTGTTTTTCTCCTTAGATCAATGTTCGAGTTGTTACTATGGATGCAGAGCTGGAGTTTGCCATCCAGCCAAACACTACAGGCAAACAGCTGTTTGACCAGGTCAGTGAAGGCTTGGTATGGGCTTTTGTTTAAGCTTGGAGTACATTTCAGATTATAGTGTTTTCTTAAGACTGAATTCCAAACCTACCTTTCTTTCTTCTGCCCACCTCCTAATCAAAGGGCCCTGGTCTGATTCAAGATCTCTAAATTCCGTCACAGTAAAAGAAAAAAAAAAAAAAGCAAAAATCCTTGCAGGTATGTTCTGTTCCAGTGCAACCTGTCGTCTTAGCAGTGTTGGGTGATGCAAGTGTCATAAGGTCTCTAAAATGTCTAGACAGCATAGGTAGCATGTAAAAATGCACCTCTTGCTTTGAAATACAGCTTAGCTCTTACTTATTTCTTAAAGTTGAAGTGTTGTCCCTGTGCATAAAACTCTTCAGAATGGTCTTCAGATGGCTGATGAAGGCATAGGCATAGCTGCATTCATTCAGAAGCTGGGTTGGAAGTAGCCACTTGCCACAGATGTTTGAGTTTATCTCCATGCAGTAAGTATAGCAACAAGCCTTGTAAGAAGCCCCTGTGCAGCAGGACTTGTCCAGCCTGCCTCCAGGGGTTCCCAGGGAGGTGGAGGGCATGAGTAGCCAAGACTACTCCCTTACTGTTATTCTTCCTGCTACTGTGTTAACAATGTACAGGTCTATTTGGAGATGGACCTACAAAGGTCAGATAAAGACAACTAAAATAAACAAAGAGCACTTTGTAAAACTATTATTCCTTTCTTAAGGAGCTTGCTTTTATAAAACTGAACCAAGTCCTAGATTTCAGCAGAAAATAACTTACTGTTCTGTAATTAAAAAAAAAAAAAAAAATCTTGCTTCTAGCTATTTCTGCCAGAACACTGAAAACTAAGAATTGATCTATGCAGACTTGAATTACACATATTAAGCTGTTTACAAAGTGTTACGACAATTCCTTTGCACTTCTCCCCTTTTCCCCTGCTAGCCTTGATAGCAAAGGGTGGTTGAGCTTTAACTCAAGTGGGCAGAACTGGCTAAACAATGTCCATGCTTTCTAAGTTTGTGTTGGTACAATTTCTTGTTTCAGTGAGTTAGCCAGATCTTGCTAGGCCTTATGGCAGCTGTGCAGTGAAAAGTACTTAAAAAAAAAATTAAAAATAAACAAACAAAGAAAACCCCACAAAAACCCAAACCCCCAACAAACAAAATTTTAGTGGGTTCTTGGTGGGAATGAAAGGAGGAAACTAAATCATAAACCACTGCAGAACTTCACAGTACAAAGTAGAGTACTACAAATTGTGTTTAGCATTTAATCAAGCTTTAATTCCTTTTGATTATTACTGATGTGGGAATAAACATCAAGTATTTATTGACTGGAAATTTGGTGAAGTGCATGTGAAACCTGCATTTTTATGGAACCAGCATTTGGTGTTTGACCTTCCATTCACTGTTGATCACTCTTGCATCAGGGTAACTTCCTCCCCCAGCCCCTGTCATGTTAACCCAAAACAGATAACTTGGGTTTATGAGGGTACAAAAATGCAAATGACTAAAAAGTCAGGTTTTTAAAAGCAATGCCTTAGATCAGACAGTATAAGTATGTCCTGTGTTTCTTATGACAAGGATTTGATAAAGATATATTCACTAATGTTTACATCTGTTAAGAGTCAGGGTCATCTCTTTGGCAGAAGAGAAACTACTTTCTTGACCTCCAGCTGAGAAGCGCGAAATCCTGAGAACAGGGAAAAAGGCAGGATGCTTCAGATCCAAGATACTTCTGGCTTGCTGTCTAGGTAGTCCTGGACTGCTGAAGACTGCTTGGTGCAGCACTTGCTGCACTGCTGGGATAGGCTATCACCTCATGAAGATTTGCTCCTTACATCCTGAGGTTCAGCTTTAAAACCTGTGATTAGAAATTCTAATCTGTAGTCCACTCCTTGTTGAAATGCACGTCTGCACATCAAGGGAAGACTGAGGTAGAAATGTGCAACACAAAAGCAGGCAAGGTGAAGACTGTACGTTTAGCTGCAACTCTTCTGACATCCTCTCTTCGCTTCTGCTGTGCAAGCCTTTTACTAGGCCCTTATCTCGGATGGAATTTACACTCAGATAAAGCCTATGGAGGCAACAGGTTTTTGCAGGTATGGGGAGTGGCCCAACTTGAACTGCAGAACCACTGGCAGGGGGAAGGGTGTTGAAGAAGCCAGCTATTTTTAAAAACCATGAGATGATTTCTTGGCATGGCTGTCAGCTAGCCAAACTACTCTAGCAGAGCCCTTGTGCTTTAGGCTTTGCTTGCATAAGTGTATCCTGCATGTAAGGTGGATTATAGCTCCCTTTTATAGAAAGGGGAAAATAGTGGAAACCTGTGAACATTGAGGTCAGCTCCGCTCAAGCCAGACCTGTGCAGAGTTTATGCTGCAACGGTCCAAGGTGTCCCAAGGACCAACATGGTGGGCTCTGCAGCTGGCGGGAGTACCTCCCAGGCAGTTGTGTGCCATCCTGGCCACGAGGAGAAGGGATTCAAATAGAGGACAGCGTGTCACTGGCAATTTCTGGGAGTGAATGCATTTCTGGGTGGAATGGGCAGACTTAAGATCTGCTGCTTCGTTCATTTGAGGAGCAGGGGGCAGATGTCTCCCATCTTGAATATAATGCCTTGGTTCTTAGTTCTTCCTTGTTTTGCCATGGAAGAAGTTTACAAACCATTTCCCAGAATATAGACTAAAACATTCGTGTCTTTGTTCTTTGAATTGGAACCCAAATTGTGAAATTGTGAAGTTTAGCTTACTACTTTCTCCTTCCATACCTTTAGGTTTTGGGAAGAACCTGAGGGGTCATAACTCCTGCAAGCTTTCTAACTTGATTTATAGAAAAAAATGTACTCTTTCTGTTGTAAGAGGCATCCAGAGATAATGACCTGATAACTGCTTGATTTATGCAACTCTTTATTTTAACGAAGTTGCAACACTTTTTTTTGTGCAATAGGAAGTACCACACTCAACATACCCCGGTTTTTCTGCTAGATTGGGTAAAGCCCTGTTCTGACCTTTCTAAAAATACATCTAGCTGTTAGAAAACTTGGCTGTTCTGTGGTGAAACAAGCCACTTCAGGGCAGGAGGGAAAAGGAATTTTAGTCAAGTAAAGGCTGAAATGTTTTCGGATCCAAGCTCTTTTCTAAAAGTTCTGGGGATTGAGGTTTTTTGTTTGTTGGGTTTTGTGGTTGTTTTTTTTTTTTTTTTTAAGATAAACTCTAGTTTGTTATAATGGGTTACTGACGGCCCTGCTGAAGTCGAATGTATAAACCATAGCCTACTGAATACAGGCCACAGTGTCTAGCTATGAAGCTACCCCATTTCCTCAACTAGTAGGCACTGACCTCTTTATCCTTAAAACTTGTATTTGCTTAGTGACATTTTCCATACTACTGTGCAAATTTTCTTGGTCTGCTTATATCGCTAAACTTTACAGATTGCCTGTTACTCAACAATGTCACACAAACAGTAATTCTCAGAGTGTTAGTCAGGATGGTGCATTTTTCCCATCTCCCTTACCAGTCTTGGGAAGCTCTGGCTTCCAGGTACAGTCTGCTGGGTTCTAGCTCACCACTAAGAAATTTTAAGGGAAACTACAGCAAAAACCTAATTAAGTGTCCTAAAATCGTTGTGTGTCTAAGGTCTGCTCTCCAGCCAGAGTGTTTCCAGCAATACTGTAAATGGAGAGGGTGAAACAGATCCTTGGTTGAGATCTTAAACTTGTTGAAGCACGTGTAACTACGCCCTCTCAAGTCTGTCACACTTTCCTAACTTGCAAAGCAGTTTTAAAAAGCTCTTGCTTTCCACTCAGTTCAGCTCCCATGATGATGCCCACATCACTTTTTGAGGGGCTACTCTGCAAATAACAAGAAGGAAGCGATCCAGATATGTATGTAGTGGATCTTTCCAGATCTTGGCTCTTTCTAGAGTACAGCTTTACAGGTAGACGAGCTGGCAGCAAACTTCTGGGCTATAAGAACAAGCTGTCAAGAGTAGGAGGAGATCAGGAACTTGTTAGGCTATCTCCTCCACTGAGGAAAAGGAAGGTGTCCAAGCAGGCCTATGTGCCATCCAGTCAACGGATAGTGTTTCTGGATCTTTTGTGTGGTTAGTATTTACAATATGTGAAACTAACTTTGTCCTAATGTTGGGCCATCGATATATTTTGTCCTTCAAAACCAGCATTTGTGTGAGTTTAAAAAAAGAACACCTTTCAGTGGGAATACTTCCAGCTCATCTTAATTCTCAAAAACGCATGGGGAGCTTACTGCAGCAGCTGTGTGAAGTATCCCTCAGCTGCTTCTGCCAGCCAAATAATGTTTGTTGACCGGTAGACAAGATCACTTGAGCCGTTAGTACTGTTAACTAGTTGTAGTTAGTACTAACGCTATTACAGACCATCTCACCATAAGCTTTCGTGAGAGAAGTAACTTGTCTTCTTTATCAAGCACAGTTTTAAAATGGGCCAGTAGATAAAAGCAAGCAGAAGCCCCACCTGCTGCCAGTGTACCAGTTGCCCCATATGTGTCTCCTGGTTTTCCCAGAATCATCTTCTCCTAGGAACTGGGCGGGACAAGTAGCTTAGCCTATGCCATTGCTGTCATCTACTATAGCAGCTGTGTATCTTTGTCTACACAATGAAATTAAGAGATGCCAGATGAGTAAATTCAGGCTGTTGGCTGTGCCCACAGGTGATGCGGGGCTTGAGAGGATACCTGGACTTCAAGTGAACTGTTACCTGTAGTAACTTCTCTTTTTTTGACCTTTCTGTTGCAGGTGGTTAAAACCATAGGTTTGCGAGAAGTGTGGTACTTTGGTCTTCAGTATGTGGACAACAAAGGATTCCAGACTTGGCTGAAGCTTGATAAAAAGGTAACAGACTTTGGGCTAATTGCTGAACAAAGGTTAACACTTACATGATTCTTGACGTGTTATTGGCTGCAACGTCGTAAAGCTTGTACCTGTTGTTGGCTGTTCCTAAATTCTCATAACTCCAGGATTTTTTTTGGAGAAAACTTTGTGACCTCCATGGGAACTGTTTGGGTGAGGTGCGGCATAGTGGAAGTTTGTCCTTTCTTTCTGTGTGAATTGTAGAAAGCTTGATAGCATTCGTCAGATGTACAGTAGCAGCTTGACATGGTACTTTGTTGGGTAGAAGCAGCTATTCTTTCTGTGTCTGGAGGAACATCTTGCCTAGTGGTGGTTTTAGTCTCCGCTCGTGCGGGATCATTTGTTGCACTAATCTGAAAGATAGGTCACTTCAAGGCTGGGCAGTTGTAGCAGAGCACAGGTGCCTCTGGTGTGCTCTTGTATGTGAACTTGCAATTCTTATGAGGGTATGAACAGTTTTTCTCGACGGGGCTGTCAGCAATGTACCTGTTTAACGACAGGGGGCTGTTCTCTGTCAAACGCATACAATACTGGATGGGTTCGCCATCTGACACAGCATGGTAAATCATTCTCCAGTGACCAAGGCTTGCTGTACAAGCAGAATTTTACTGGCTAAGCTGGAAAGTATAACATGTCTCCCCTGTGTTCTCATAGCAGTAAGCAGCTGGAATTAAGGAATAACAGTATCGAGTTGCCAGTCACTTGCCTCTTCAGGCAAATGCCCCAAATCCCTTTTTCTGTGTAAAAGCAATTTATTCTGTTGTTTACAACCCTGCTCAGTTGCAGTGTCGCTTCTGTCCTCAGGTTTCTGCTCAAGAAATCAGAAAGGAGAATCCCCTCCAGTTCAAATTCCGCGCCAAGTTCTTCCCAGAGGATGTGTCTGAAGAGCTGATCCAGGACATCACGCAGAAGCTCTTCTTCCTGCAGGTGAAGGAAGGGATCCTCAGCGATGAGATCTACTGTCCTCCTGAAACAGCAGTACTTCTTGGCTCCTATGCTGTGCAGGCCAAATTTGCAGATTACAACAGAGAAGTGCACAAGCCTGGATACCTCAATTCAGAGCGCCTGATCCCACAAAGGTGAAGGAGTTGGTTGATAGTCTCCCATTTCTTTTGGCGTTGTTCTGTTTTGTTTTTTAAAGTCAAGAATTTGCATTCTAGCTAGATACAAAGAGTTTCACTGAAAAGCATGACTGTTATTTTTTGTTTTTAATTGAACTGCATGCGTTTGGGTTTTTTTCCTTCTTTTATTTCTATCTGTCAGAGTATGTTTTTGTGCTCTCTCCTTGGGTTGGTTAGGGAGAGGAAGTACACTTTTGAATTTAGCTTTTCTTTCCTAACCATGGCTGCCATGCTGGTAACTGGCAGTAGGAATGTGGCTCCTCTTTAAGAAGAAAAGAGCAGCCTTCAGTCATGAATGTGTCATCTCTGGAGAAGTTCGGGTTGTGTCTCTAATCCTAATGTACAGTCCTAAAACCCCTGTATCTGGAAAGCATGTCTCGAGGCTATGTAGTCCATCCCCACGCGGGATGAGTGTATGTTATCAGGCAAATGGCTTGTGTTTATGCTTCCTGATGACACTCTGCACAGTGTCTAATTCCAGGAATGACACCAACTTTTGCTTTGCTCTAACCCGCTGGTGTGTACAATGTGTATGTGATTCTTTTTCAGTGTTCTGCTTGCCCCTCCCATGCCTCTGGTCAGTGATGAGAAAGCCTTTGCAGAGGTGTTTTGTTCATTCTGAATTACTCTGCTTCACAGAGTAAATCTTTGGGCTGAGTAAAAATCTTCCTCTTGGTTTCAGTAAGGCTTCCTGTGTAGGACGGATTTTTCAATTAGACTGTAGCAAAGATCAGCATCAATGGATACTGCGGAACACAAAGTCTAATCCTGCTAATATCTCTTTCCTTGTGTAGGGTGATGGACCAGCATAAACTCTCCAGAGAACAGTGGGAAGAACGGATCCAGGTGTGGCATGCTGAACACAGTGGCATGCTCAAGTAAGTGTTTTGTACCGGTCCCTAGGCCAGTCACTTTATCGCTGGTTGATTACCTTAAGCTTGCAGTTCTACAGCGTTCTTTTGAAATAGACTCCAAGAGTCACCTGTGTGGGGGAACTCTTGGTGCATATTTTCTAGACCAATATAAAATCACATGGTAAAACTGAGTACAATTTTAACACTTGTGCTGAGAAGGGTCTCTTGGATGGCTTCCTAAAAATCCTGGACCTAGGCACAGTGTTTCAGTGATGACTTGAGTGGAAAAAAAAAAGTAGAGGTGTGTGTCTAACCTTAAGTGCACTGAAACATTTGCATTGGCAGATGGGGAAAGTTCAGGTACTATACCCTTCCCACTGACTGTACCTTGAGACAAGGTTGAATGCTGGAAAAGATTAATGTTGCTAATTTTCTGTCTGGAAATACTAGGGCTTGGTAAATGGGAGTACTCTGTGTGTATGTGTGTTCATAGGTGTAATATCGTAACTCTAAAGTGAATCCAAAATGCTGAATGTTCAGTTTTAGCTCTTTGTGTTTGATGTGTTGGTTTAGGAAAAGTTACTTGTTTCTCTCAAGGACTTTGTGAGATGGGCAGACAAATGAGAAGCTAACATCTGTTCTCCTTCCTGTCTCAACCAGAGAGAATGCCATGTTGGAATACCTGAAGATCGCTCAAGACCTGGAGATGTATGGAATCAACTACTTTGAAATCAAGAATAAGAAAGGAACTGACCTTTGGCTGGGGGTTGATGCCTTGGGGCTCAACATCTATGAAAAGGATGATAAGTAAGGCTTTTTTTTTTTTTTTTTCACCTGTGATCTCCCAGAGTAAAGGCTGGTGTGGGAGCTGAAGGACATTTCTCGTTTAAAGGATCAGGACAAAGTGTAGAACTTGCTCGTGTTCCAGTTTTGGATCAGTAGGTGAAGCTGTGGTAGGAAACGAGCTTTCACATCATTTACTCTTTTGTGACTTTCCTGACCTTTGTAGCCTGACCTGCTGTAGAGACGTCAGTTGTACGCTGCCATCTGGTAAATTGTGCACAGTTGCAGAGCTGAACCCTGAACTAAAGAGTCTCCCCGGCTTTTCCCTGAGTCAGGTTGCCGGGTATGCCAGCAGTGGATAGAGTACGAGAACCTAGACAGGCTAACATTGCCTGCAGAGTGTTTGGACATCTAAGGCCATTCCTATACTGCAGTTAATGATAGATGTGAGTGCAACTGCCTGGTTTTGAAAAAGACGGATTATGGGGTGGATACGAAACCAAAGCCGGATAACACCCAGAACCCAGGGAGGAGCTAACCTATATAGTTACTGTGAACGAGGAACAAAATGAGGTCTTGCTGAGGTACGTGTAGTTTTAATCAGCCCTTCTGGTAAAGGCAGAGCCACTATTAATTGGATAGTAGGAGGGAAATGATAGACTACATCTATAAATAAACATAAAAGGAAGGTGAGAACAACTGTGTCTAAGCTTGCTAGTCTCGTCTAATACGCCACAGTTGAAGGATTGAAGGGGAGTTAAAATAGACTTTTTTTTTTAGATGAAGGTTGCTGTCTAGACTGCTTCCCCACACACACCCACACCTTCTAAGTCTTCATTTCATGTCACTAATCTATAGCGGACTCTCATTGTAATACAGAGGAGTGTCACCTGCTCTACATCTTTGCCTTCAAAAAGCTTTGAATGCAACCCAAATATTTGTCGGAACTCTCTGGAGCGTCTGTTAAGATGGCAAAGAGAAATGCAGTCTTTTCCTGCAATGCTAATATGTGCTGTCACCCAGAAAACAAGGAGTGTCACTTGAAAGAAAAGTAGTTTCGCTCATCTAATACTTCGGTCTTGAATGACTAGTCTTGCTGTGTAACCATGGTCACACAAACAGGTTTTTCGAGCTGCAGAAGCAGGCAGAATACAGCTGTTGCCTGTAAAGAGCTATGAAGAGGGTTTGCAAAACAAATACGGTGCTGGAATAAACTGCTTGTTTCTGCTGTAACTCTTGCTGCTATGTAATTAAGTGTCTTGAGCAGATACAGGGACTAGAAAAATAATGTGTACCTTGCCTCTGGTTTGTACGTGTAAAATTTGGAGACTGGGGCAAAGGTGAAAAAGCAAAGATTTTATTGTTGAAGTTCAACCTGAGGAAAACGAGACCGTGCTATAGGTGTGTGAGCCTCTTTACTGCAGTGTATCTTAGTGTCCTGCTCCTAGGTATTTTCAAGCTTTTTTTTTTTTTTTCCTCCCCCTGCATTAAAGAGGAGAATCTGTGGTAGAACTCATTAATGAGTGAATTATTTTTGTTGTCTGTCGTACTATATTATCTAGGGTTGAAACACTTAAGCTAGTATGATAGAGGCTGGAGTAATTATTTAATCTTAGTCTAATCAAATCATTTTCTTTACAGTTCTTACTTAATGTTACACATACGCCCTGTTGCATAACCTTGCAGTTCAGTTAAAGGTTAGGGAATGGTAAGTTCTGAAGAGGGTGTATTTTATTCTTGATGTCTGATTTTAAATGAAGCAACTTTTTTTTTATTATGCTTGGGCCCAGTGATACTGTGCTACGTAGTTGCTTTCCATCTCTGACAATGAGTCAAAGTCCTCCAAAACTGCTGACTTTTTTCCTTAACCCGTGAGCTCCATAGAAAGGATTCTTACAGAGTTCCAGTGGTTCACCATGATGATAGATGCTTCTCTAAGTGCTAAATATTAAACACTTGTGTCTTCAAACCATTTGCTAGAAATAATTGTCAGCACTTCAGTGTGTGTCAGAGACATATATTGGAGGGGTTAGATAATAACAAGAAGATTGCCTGTTGGTATCATCATTTACGTAAGACACAATTCTTAATCACTAACTGCTATCTCTAGAGAATATACCCTCCCTTGATAAGAGAAAATAAAATAATTATAATGTGATATTAAACGTAAAAATTGAAGTATTTGATTGGGGGAATTAAAGGAACAGTCAAATACACAAGTCCTTGTAATGTTAGAACTTGCTGCAGAGTTGGGCAAGTACATAAGGGTGAAGTACTGGAATGGCTCAGAAACATTTGATTTCATGAATAACTTCATGATTTTTATATGCAAGAGTCTGGAGAAATTAAAACAGAGGAAAATATTAAATTATTAGTGAAGCTTAAAGAAAGTAATTTTAAACAAACCAGCAGAGCTCCTAAGCAGCGAGGAAGAGCTGGGAGTCTGAATCTTGCCTTTTGTTTCGGAGAGTGCTTTCTGGTAGGAGAGAGCCATGTGGCACAGCTCCTTGCATGACCAGCATGTAAAGTTCTGCTCCATGACTGGTGGGATGGGCTGAAGGAGCAGTTTGTGTGGAAGGAAAGAACAGGGCTCTTTGTTACCAGCCTTGCCTGTAGTCAAGGGGAGGAAACAAAAGACAAGAAATCTGCTTCTACCAGTTGTGTTTGTGCCTGCCCAGCACTTCAGGAGTGAAGGCAGTGTGGAGGTAACTGGGCTGGCTGTAACACAGCAGAGTAGGCTTCTCTGTGGGTGCTAGAAGGTGTGGGGAGCAGCTGAGTTACTTTGGCTTATGCCTCCCATGACGTATGAGAAGCCTCCTGGAAGCACAGCACATAAAACTAAAGTCTGCACGCTGTGGATTTTAGGCCCTGATTTCAAAGAAATGAACTTAAAGCAGATGTTTGGTAAAGCTGAGTGTGTGGCTTCGGTAGAGACCATCCCTATTGCATAGCCAAAGGGCAGTAGGGTGGTTGACCAAAATGAGAAGAGACTGTAAGAGAGGTGACTGGGCTTCTTCCTCTGCACCCTGTGGGGTTTTGGTTCAACTGCTGTCTTCTCTCTGATGGGAGAGCCGTGTGAAGTCTTGCATCCCACTGAGTCTGTGATAGAAGCAATGTGGGGGGAAAAATACGTTCATTGCAGCATCTCTTAAAAATATTTCTCTTCTTTCCAGACTGACTCCAAAGATTGGGTTCCCCTGGAGCGAAATCAGAAACATCTCTTTCAATGACAAGAAGTTTGTTATAAAGCCTATTGACAAGAAGGCACCGGTAAGTATATCTACAATGGATTCCTGGATTGTGCATGTGAACAACTAATACTGTTTCATCTCAAAATAAAGCAGTCTTTGGAGAGGAGAAAGCTGCAGATATTCTAGATGCAAAATGAGCCTTAGTATTTAGGGTGTACTTAGACTGTCTGTTTTTCTGTGCAGCATAAATAAAAGGGCTTACGGTGGTATCTAACGTGGAGAAAGACAGCGATTTTACAACCGCAGAGTCCTTTTTTCTAGCAAACTAGGTAGCCTTATGCTTATATCTGAGATTCTTCGCTAGTTCTGTGAGTCTTCTTGTAACCAGATTATACTGAGATTAGTCCTTTCCCCATTTTTCAGTGCGTGGAAGTTGGTGGCTAATGTTTTTTGTTGTTGTTAATTTAAAAAAACCCCACAAAAATCAATCAAATGCTACTGCCAAACCATATGGTTACTTATGGCTTCCCATCTCGGTGCTCACTTCCACACTAGTGAAAGAAGGAAAGCCAGTTAAGGACCATGGTGTTCATTGACCTTCTTGAATAGTAAGGAAGATGGCAAGGATATGATTTCTGTGAAGAACTGAAATGTAGCTACCTGTGAATGTTGCTTTTCAATACTTAAAAACATGTTTTCAGCGTTATTTTAGTGAAGAACTGGCAACTTACTTTGACCTGTTGAGAACATAAAGTGGAATAACTGGTATAGGTGGGTCTCATTCTGTCAGTCTTGTGAAACTGTTGGAATAGTTGAGAAAGGCCTCTTCCTATTCTCTTCCCCCACCCCAGTACTTGGCCTTGGTGGGTAAATACAGCCCGGAGAAGTAATAAGCAGTTTGGCTTTGGCCAAGAATGACGGCTTATAAATCTCTTTAACAGAAGAAGATCCTCCCAGTAATTTAAAGGATACTAATGCACAGTGTGCTGCAGGGCTTTCCTCCAGATAACAACCTGGGGTTTGGGGACAGAAGAGCTTCTTTCTGTGATGCTGTTGGTGAAAGCCAACAAAACTCCAGAGAGACAGAAAGGTCATCTCTGTCAAGCGTGCCTTTCTCAATAGAAGATCCTCTTGAACATGTTGTACACATTACAAAATACTAATCTCCTGTTTATGGATCACAGCTTTCCATCCACGCCCCAGCAGTAAATCTGACTGAGTTTGAAATGGGAGACTTGCAAGAGGCTGGTAGAGAAAGGTGTTAACATTGAAAACCTCAGTTATGTTCCCTCCCTCTGTCTCAGTTGTACTTTTCCCTCTGGGTGACGTTATGTCTAAAGTTACGTGTGAAAGAAGAATTTATCTGGACACTAATTCTGAGCATTCAGGAAGCTGCCTGCACCTTTTCATATGCTTGTGTCCCCTTTTAAAAAGGCAAGTATTGTAACTACAGCAAAATACTCAGTCCACCCAAGATGCAGGTTGGAAGCTCCCCTTTAATTTGGAGGATTCTAAATGTCAGTGTTTAAATGGGCACTAAGGTAGTGGGTGGAGTCCTGTGGCACCCTGCCTTGAATAAGTTTTTTCATTTTTAGGTCTCTCTGCCCACATACTTTAACATCTTCAGCACATTATCTTTAAAAATATCAAGCTGTGATGCTCCCAGTTGTGTGAGACCAAGGGGAGGCTGGGGTTGAAGAAAGGAGGGGATTCTTTCATGTTCTTATGTGACTGTTTTGTCCCTTGGTTACGGCCTTAAATGACAAACGCAACCCCTGTCCGTGCCCTCGGTATTTACTTCCATGTAGGTCAGCCTTGCCTCCAGATAGGACCTGTTCATCACAAGGTACACAAACTGTTTTTAAAATTGCTTGTCAGAAATAGGAGGTCGGGTGAATAGCTTGCAGGTGCGGCTAGCGGTGCCAGACCTGCGCAGCTCAGGATGGCTCTGGCAGGATTTAGTGGGGGAGCAGAACTCACCGCGCTGGCTGGCTGCCTCTTGCAGTCGGTATGTGAATTAGGGAAACGCGCTGAAGAAAACGAGTCTTTGTCAACTTATTCGTGTTCATCTTAATAGCCCTCGGGGAGCTTTTCATTGCTTCTAGGGTGACTTCTGGTTTTCCCAGAGGTAGCCACAACTTGCGCTTCTGAGCTCAGGCGATTAAAGACACGATCGCTGCAGCCTTGCAGAAATGCAGAGCCTCTGTGTGCCCCTTCTCAGCTCCACCTCTTGCTGACAGTGAGGCAATCCATAGGAGAGTGAGTGATTCTAAGGAGTGGGTACTGGCTTACGGTGGTAGTATGGCAGCCTGCCCACTGCCCCTATCACCGTCCACACGGTACACAAACAAAGGCACAAAGATGCTGAGTTTGTTCACTGTGTAAGTTCAGACTGCATCGCAAATACCTATGGTTGTAGACCCAGAAAAATCATCAAGCAGGTAATGAACTTGGCCCTCTGTATCCCTATCTTAGCAGATTTACTTCTAGAAGACCCAGTCTGGCGCACAGTTTCTGTAAAAGCCTGGTTATAACACAGATAATAAGAAATTTGGGGCCGTTCTTTTTGCAGAACCAGAAACTTTAGAATATTGTGTTTTGTTACTGCCTGCAACCCAATAGTCAAAATAACCCGTGTGCCTGGTAGTTCAAAAAAAATAGCTTTCATCTGATGCTCTTGTACTTGTACATTTGACACTCTTTAACTAGGAAATGCCGTGGAGAGGAAAGAATGATATTGGAAGGTGTATTTCTTCTCTTTCTCTGAAAAAACACAAGATGGTGCCTTGAATATTGATTCAAATACATCAGGAAATTCTACAAAGTCACTTTAATAGTCTGCAATACATTTTTAGTTTCGCACTTTATCTTTCAGTCACAAAACCATGCAAACTTAAAAACTCAGTTACTCAACACTAGAGGTCTGTGAGTTGCCCAGATGGTTACCTGCCAACCCAGAATCTTCTGCAACGTTTCCAAACTCCACAAAGTCCCCTCTGAATGGAGATTGCTAATTTTCTCTAAAAGATGCTTTTTCTAGAAGAGTAACTTGTTGATTCTATGTAGACTTCAAGTGGAGAGTGTAAATACCAATTGTTTTGGCTTCAGATGACATTGGTGGTCCCTGCTGCTGTATTTAAATGGCCTGCATGATATGCCTCAATTGCAGTGAAATTAGCAGCAAGATGATCTGTCTGCAGCGAGCTGGGAGAAGAGAAGGCGTGCTTGGAAAACTGACCGTGTGGTGCCTCTCTTCTAGGACTTTGTGTTTTACGCCCCTCGTCTGAGAATTAACAAGAGGATCCTGCAGCTCTGCATGGGCAACCATGAACTGTACATGCGGCGCAGGAAGCCCGACACCATCGAGGTGCAACAGATGAAAGCGCAGGCCCGGGAGGAGAAGCACCAGAAACAACTGGAAAGGTGAGCTTGAATATGGACAGCGGGGATGGGGTGGCAGAGAGAAATGACACCAAGCTGCCAGGGCTCAGCAGGCAGCTGTACCTGCAGGGCAGCAGCAGGTAACGTGGGTTTCGCTTAGGCAAGGCCGGCAGCCGTCCCACGTTCGTGAGGTCTACGTGTGGCCCTAGAGCTCTGGTTTTACGGGGGCGGGCTCCGGATATCCTGCAGGGTCCCACTGTAAGCGTCACTCCTGGCTCGGAGCTGTGGCCGTGGAGTCTGCTGTCCTGTTTGCAGTCTTGAGAGCTGCGAGGAAACGTGCGAGTAAAGGCACAGTGGGCTCTTGCGCAGTGACATGCGCCTAGAGCGGGGTTCTCCTGACTCTTGGGTGTTAGGACCTGATTTATGTGTTGGACCGTGGGATGGTTGGGAGTAAGGGAGAAACCTTCACACAGAGCATGCATGTACACTGCAAAAAGGGAAGAGGGGACTGGGCGACCTCTTTCAGGCAAGGAAATAGGATTGGCAATTCTGTTGGACTTCTACCACTGGCTGCAGGTGGCTTGTGATTCGGGAAATCATATTGCTTTTCTCCTGTATCTGTGGCCTGTTTTTCTTCATTCCCCCAGTGCTCTAGTTTTTACCCTTCCTCTACTTCCCTCATAACAGAAGTAACAAAGCTAAATCTCTGCTGTGCAGTACAAAGTCCTGGTTTTCTCTCTCCGCATCTAGTAGCTGTTTGGCGTTCTAAATTTCTGTGGCGGGCAACAAAAATACAAATGTTTTCATGAAATGGGGTATCCAAACCCAAGCAAAAATTCTGAAGTGATGAAGGAACAGGCTATGTGTATTTCTGTCTTCTGGCTCTGTGTTTTGTGGCAGTCGCTTCCCATTGAACTGCCCGGAGAGATGCCCAGCTAGTTTTCTCACCTTGCTGTAGCTCAGGTCTGAAAGTGAGCTTCAAGCATGAAATCTGTTTCTAACAGGCAACAACTAGAAAATGAAAAGAAGAGGAGGGAGACAATTGAGAGGGAGAAGGAGCAAATGTTGAGGGAGAAGGAGGAGCTGCTGGTCAGGCTACAAGAGTATGAGGTGAAGACACAGAAAGCAGAAAAAGGTAAAGTACTTGTGCTGGCTGACCAGATCACGCGTATTGTGCTCCACAGAAGGGTTATATGGGTCGCTGCCTACACCTAGCCTAAATCTGGTGACACTGGGGATCTCTTGGCAAGGCTTACCGATACCTACCTATATGGATAAATGCACACATGCGCACGCACTGCTGAGATCATCCAAAGTGTGAAAGCGGCATAAAATCTGCTGATTGTATTTGGGAACCAAAGGGCACGAACTCTGTTTTTCCCCTGTTGCTAGGAGGGTTTTAGTAGTATGGCCTCTTCCAACAGCGAGCAAGAGTTCAGCTCTTGAGTACTTTTACTTAACTCCTAACAGCAAAAGTATTTTGGGAACATGTCTTCCCAGTGACGTGGAAGAGCTGAGCAGATTGGAGACAGCCACATCTGGTCCTTGCAGTAAACTCTCAATTAAGGGCAGCAGAATCATGTCTGTGTTGCAGACTTCAGTGCAAATACTGTGCAGAAGATTTAATTAAGAAGCGCAGCTGACTGCTGCTGAATGCAGTTACTTGATATATAATGCAGATAACTACTTTGAGGTGTGCAGTGAAGGGATATTGCAAGCTGGAGTCAAGTGCTTGTCATGACTTCAGCAGTTACCTAAGAGACTGTCTGCCTGCTTTGACCAGGCTTGTGGAATAACTGCATTGATCTGTCTTTTTCCAGAGCTCTCGGATCAGATCCAAAGAGCCATTCAGCTGGAGGAGGAAAGGAGACGAGCCCAGGAGGAAGCAGAGCGCTTGGAAGCTGATCGTTTGGCTGCTCTGCAGGCCAAGGAAGAGCTGGAGAGACAAACTCTGGACCAGATGAAGAGCCAGGAACAGCTGGTAAGACCCGGTCATTTTGAGGATAAGATACACAAGCATGTTACTGTGCCCTCTGAGTAAGGCAAAGCCTTGTTCTATGGGGAAAAACATAGTGCGGTGAAAGTGCTAGACCACGCGATAGCGTCGCTGTGGCGCTGTTCTCCATCATGAGCAACCTACTTTTTGTTCTTAATTTCCTATTCAGTCTTTATTACAGCGGAGGGTAACACTTGGGTCTTTTCTCAGTCAACAGTGTTTCATTGTTGCATTTGGGTTTTGGTTTGGTTTGGTTTTTTTAAGGGTCCTTACACTTCCAGTTTTATTATTCAACAGGCTACAGAGCTGGCAGAGTACACAGCCAAGATTGCACTTCTTGAAGAGGCAAGGAAGCGTAAAGAGAGCGAGGTCGAAGAGTGGCAAATCAGAGTGAGTATCGCTGTTTTACAGAGTGGCTCTGAAGTTCTGCACTCAAGCGGGGCACAGCGCAGTGCTTAGCCTGGTATGACTTCTCCAAGCACGTGGAGACAAACATCCGTGCGCCAGCAGAGAAGGGTGGGCGCGTGATGAACGTGCAATACGCCTGCAAAACACCTTTCTTCCAACACGCCTTCAGTCAAATTTCAAAATGGAAGCCTGTATAGAACCTAAAAATGCGCTCATCATTTTGGAGCCGTGGAGGGGAAGGGACGCGTGTATAAACAATGCATTTAATCCATTTAATTCCAAGAGAAGACACAGCAAGCGCAGCCGCGCTGCAGATACCAGTCTTGAGGGGCGTGTGCTGTTGTCAGTGGCTTCCTGGTACCTGGGTTGGGAGAGTTGAATAATTTGATGCACTAGGCCCAAAAATAAACCACGCAAGGCTCCCAGTGCCCCCTAACTAGCGCTGCAGGCCGCATGGGAGGGCGGAACCACTGGAGCGGCAAGGAAGCTGCCTGCCTAGCGCGAGACGACGTTAAAAACGCCAGCTTGGGAATCTAAGTTCTTGCTCCATGGAACACATATTTACAAACCACAGCTCTTCAGGTGGAGAACAGGATGAAGATAACTGTAACGTCGCACAGAACTGTTTTTCCTAGACTATGTTTCATTGGAAGAAGATTTGTTGTTTAGATCCCCTGCGTGTTACACAGTGGATGACAACAGTGTCACTAGCAAAAAAAAAAAAAAGTTTTCTGCGTAAGAGTGCACAAAGTTCTGTCAGCTGCAGAGACTTAATTCCCTCTTTCTTGCTTTTCATTGTAGATTGACAAAACTGGGACGATAAGCGCTGAAATGTTCATTAAGCTGGTTTAAAGCAAGAAATGCATGAAAATATTTTTTTCACTCTTTTCCCAAAGGCCAAGGAAGCCCAGGAGGATCTGGTAAAGACAAAGGAGGAGCTACACCTGGTCATGACTGCTCCGCCTCCACCCCCACCGCCTGTCTATGAGCCAGTGAACTACCATGTCCAGGATAACTTGCAAGATGAGGGACCTGAGTACTCCGCCTACAGCGCCGAGTTCTCCAGCGAGGGGATCAGGAATGACCGCAACGAGGAGAAACGCATTACGGAGGCAGAGAAGAATGAACGTGTACAGAGGCAACTGAGGGTAAGAAAACGTTTGGCGGAGGGGGAGTGATGGAACAAATCTTTCCTGGAAAACAGATCATTTAGCCACTTGGTTAAGCACACAAAGCGTGATAGTTTGTCTTCGTTAACAGTTCCTGCAGGCAGTTTGAATTACAGAGAGGGTATACAAAGAGTATTCTCATGGCTCGGGCTTTGAGGTTGCTTACATCAAGGACGGCGTTTAAGGAAAGTGTGTGTTGTATCCATGTCGCTGATGCGTCCAGTCATCCGACAACTGTCAGCTCTCGGCAGAGAACACGGCTGTCGTGAGCTGGAAGCTTCTGGAAGCTTCTCCTGCGTAATGTGCGTTTCATGTTCTTTATATGGCAGGCGCTGACAGATGAGCTGGCCCAGGCCAGAGATGAAAATAAGAGGACCCACAACGATATTCTCCACTCGGAGAACATGCGGCAGGGACGTGACAAGTACAAGACGCTGCGGCAGATCCGGCAAGGCAACACTAAGCAGAGAATTGATGAGTTTGAGGCGATGTAACGATGCTTTATAACAAGAAGGCAGGACTGTGGGAAAGGCAGATCTTAATGCTGTGTTCTTGTTTTGGGGGTTTTTTTTTTGTTGTTGTTCTGGGGTTTTTTTTTTTGGTTGTTTTTTTGTTTTGGGTTTTTTTTTCCCCCTGAGGAGGGGTCACTGTATGACACTTAACAAATGTGCTCTCAACCCTGAGGTGTTTGAATCTCCCTTTTATTCCATACCTTCTATTAAATTTGGTATAGTTAAAAACTCACCGTACCACTGATCCTGGTAACTTGCTCATGCCTTTGCCTAGTGCCAAAAGGCCTTATGTCACATCTCTCTTTAAGCAACACAAATTTGAATAGGCCACGCTTCTAGCTGAAGGTATGTGTCCTGCACAGGTGCTGGATTCAGCTCGGTCTAAAAATAAGCAACTGTGGGTGAATTTTGTGCCATATGTCTTTGTTATTACTAGTTACAGTGTAAAGTCCAACCGTTGAGAAGACAGGCTGTAGCAATCGGGTATGTAGGTGCGTACAGACGCACACATTTATTTTTACACCCTGTTTTTTGTCTTGGTCTTGATGCCCACCTCCCCCCCCCCAAAAGAACTGACAACACCTCAGAACCACTTTGTGTAGAATTTAGGCTGCTTCTGGTTGCTGTTCTCCCCTGGAGAAATTCCACAGCGATGGCTCAGAAGTGTGGCACAGGGATGCTGATGCCCTCCTCGTGTAACAACTAGGCAAATACTCTGGAATCTAATACGCTACTGTGTTTGCATTCCAGCTTCATTACTGATCAGTTATAGTGTAGTATTTATATATATATATATAAAACATGCAATACTAGTTTAAAGGGAGATAGTTTTGCTCTGTATATTTTGTTACTTTTCAGATTTAATAAGACTTGCATCTGTAAAAATGCCTAAACACCACTGTAGTCTGATACAGTGCAGCTGATCATTTGCTACAAAGCATTATTTGTAAAGATCACTTTTTTACTTAATGAAAATTGTTATATGTACACGTGATCCAATATATACAATTTTACTGCACCTATTTTTCTAACAAATTTTCTAATTTTTTTAAATGTTTGATTTAAAGTTTCAGACTCCAAAGATGAAGGGACTGCTTCTTTATATCACAGTTGTATTCTCTCTAGTAGAGAGCATTTCTGTGACCATTCCTTCCCCACTAACCTACCCCTGTCCTTGAAAATCTGTTAGAAAGTGAGATACAGTATGTTGTCAGCTCTTCTCTTCCATTTACGACACCTACGCTGCTTTATACTTGAGTTGAATCTTGTGTGGTTTTTTTATTTGCAGCAGCAAACATCTAAATAAAAGATCTGCAAAGTAACAAAGGACTTGGAGTCAAGCGTTTCTCGTGTGGGGTGCGTTCTGTGTAAGGTGTGCTACTGCGTGCTTGGTTCCCGAGCTTAGCATGTGAATCCCCCTGTCTTTAACTCTTAAATCTGTAAAAGCCACATTGACCTGGAAAGGAAGAAAGGAGAATCCTTGCTGTAAGGTCTAGTGTGACCATCTTCACCCCAGTCCTGGGGAGCATGAGTTACAGCTGTATGGATGGAGCTTCTGCTGACTGCAAACACCATCTCTGAGGCAAAGGGAGCTGACTCAGTCCTTGGGCCTTAAGCTTGTGTTTCCTCTACTTCACAGGAATGAATGAGAAGTTTAGCTAAACTCCTGTCCTGTCTGATCCATATGGTGTTAATACTGCCACGTAAGCTGATGAGAACAAGGAACTTCCTACACCTACGTTTACGTTGTCCCATGCTCCTGCTGAGGGAGAATTGACAGATTTAACTGGTTGTCAGCACCGTGATACAGCATGCAGTTGACAGGCCCATGGCCCCAGGCCCTGGGTCATGTGAAGCAATACTGGCACTGTAGATAATTCTGAAGCACAGAGGTGTTAGCATGACCCAATTTGCAGCAAGCAGTTAAAGATAAGCTAGTTTTTAATTCTCTCTGAACATGTATAAAAACATCAAGATTGGAGTGGAAGCATGTAACTTTAAGGTAACAGTTACTTTTCTCTAATAAGGATTCCTATCTCTGATTTAAATTAAATAACTACAGTTCTGCTGCACCCAGAAATGGAAAACTGCACACCATCTGGCTGCTGTTGTCTTGTCAGCATACTGCATTTCAACTGGAGTTTGTAACTCCTGAAGAAACAATGCCAGCATTACACTCCAGCAAGAGACACAGGTAACAAACAGCCTTAACTTTTGGAGAAATAAAACCTTCAGAATGTCACATGCTTTCAAATGCATAACTCTTCCCCAAAAGCTGGAGTAGGTACTGGTGCAGCATACATTTCTCCAGACCCAAAATTGAATTTAAATTTAAAACATCCCACGTGGGGAAGGAAAAGTTTTTGTGCAGCAGCCTCTCATGACTTAAAGTTTTCCTTATTTGAATGCAGCGCAAGTGTAAAGTCCATCCACGTGTTTGGACTGCGGAGCACATCCTGCCATTGGAGCACTGACTGGGAAACAAGGTCTGTACAGCCAAGCGGCTCCTCTGCAAGAAAGCAAAAGGAAAGGTGACAGGGTTGACTTTCACTTGGCCTTGCCCAACTCCTGGCCCAATGGACTAGGTAACAACCAACCTCCTCTCACTCCTATAGCAATTTCAGCTGTTCTGTAGCTCCTAAGGCATTAATTGCAATAAATTTTAGTTATACTTTTGAAGCATTATTTACGCCCTGTTAAACTAGGATTGCTTGCTCTCATCTTGCAAAGAAAATTATTTTTGGTTGTATGACTTAAAAGCAGAGGAGCAAGTGCACATACCAAAAATAGCAGAATGGCACAAAGCCTCCTGCTTCAGTTCATCTCCGTTGACTTTACTGCAGTGCCAGGCTTAGGGCTCAGATGGTTGGCTTCACTCAGAAGCAGGCAGTCCCTGCTCTAGCAGAAGGGAAAATGCTGGGCAGGACAATCAAAAGAGGCTCATGAGGAAGCCTGCACAGCCCTGAGTCATTATGGGTGCTGATGCTCCTCTACAGTACATGTTGACACTTTTTGAGCCTTTCATCTCAACTACTGAAACCAAAGCACTTACTCTCTGAGAAGACTGGGATGAGAGACTCCACTGGGCAGTCTTCAAGTGACAATGCTTCTCTGCTCGACTACCAGTTAAACAAGGCCTACTCAGTGAGCAGAGGGTTCCTCAGCCTTGAGCAAGAGGGCTTGCTCTTATGTTAGGCCAGAGCCCAGAACTCAGATGTGCAAGAGGTCTTTCTGAGCCAGTTTCACTTTCTGTGTGGATGTAAAATAACAAGCATGACTACAAGCAAGCTTGGAGTCTAGTAGATCATCAGTTCTGGTGCTCCCTTTTGAGGAGATAGAACTAGCCAATTTCTAGAAAACAGCTCAAGGAACAAGTATCAAAAAAGCTGTAGCTGAGTTGGCTCCACCATCTGCAGGCTCTGGCCCTAAGAGTTACCACGCTAACAAATGGCTTTCCTGAAAATTTCCCCTGACACCACTGAGCTGCTGCACAGACCTGAACTAAAATGTGCATTGGTTCTTCCAGGCTCACAGCCCAAGATCTCAAGTTGCTTAGGGCAGAGGCTGGGGCTGTATGTGTAGGCACATGACAGCAGGTACTAAATAGTGCAGTGTAAATATAATTTAGAATGTAACCTAAATGAACTTTTCCCCAAATTACTTTCAATTTTTAGTCATAAAGAACTTACTTGCTCCAAGCTTGGCTCCTCCTAGGAACTGATCGCTTGAGCTGAAAGTGGACTGGTCCCAGACAGTCAGGTGTAGACATGATTGCTGTAGCTGGGCTGGGGTAACCCCATCAAAGACAAACAAGTGTTTCCACTGGGGACAGGCTTCTTTCTTCAGGACAGGAGACTTTCGCTTTACCTCTGCTAGGTCTGGAAGGATAAGACAACTTCCCCCCAAAAAATGAGAGTTCAGCAAGGTTACTGTTTTTGCAACCAGAAAACCGAACACGTGCAATCATCAACTGGAGCCTTCTGGTTTGCCTTAAATAGCAAAAAAGTTCAGCTGAAGTGCAAGGCAGAACATGGTGCTAGTGTGTTTATTTTGGGACTTGTTCCTTTTCCTGTCTGCCTCCAGTGTGGGTGCAAGTAGGCTCTTCTGATCTGCTTTTCCTATACTATCACTGATTGCTGAGGGAGTCTTTACTCATAGAATCATAGAATGTTTTGGGTTGGAAGGGACCCCTAGAGGTCATCTAGTCCAACCCCCCTGCAGTGAGCAGGGACACCGCTAACTAGATCAGGCTGCTCAGAGCCCCGTCCAACCTGGCCTTGAATGTTTCCAGGGATGGGGCCTCCACTACCTCTCTGGGCAACCTGTTCCAGTGTTTCACCAC